TCCGGATTGGAAGGGGGGGGAGTGTCCGGATTGGAAGGGGGGGGGAGTGTCCGGATTGGAAGGGGGGGGAGTGTCCGGATTGGAAGGGGGGGGGGGAGTGTCCGGATTGGAAGGGGGGGGGGGGAAGTGTCCGGACTGGAAGGGGGGTGAAAGCATCTGGACTGGAAGGGGGGGGAAAGTGTCTGAACTGGAAGGGGGTGAAAGCATCTGGACTGGAAGGGGGGGAAAGTGTCTGAACTGGAAGGGGGTGAAAGCATCTGGACTGGAAGTGGTTAAATTCGACAGATGTGTTAGTTTTTCATTCTAACGTTTTCATTGACTTCAACTTTCAATCCATCACCATTCCGATTCCCCATTTTTCATACTCCATCTGCATCCACCCGAACCTGATATTTCCCATGCAGGTGGACTTTGCCTTTGATCCTTTCAGTGCGGCAGATTGGAGCTTCCTCACATTATTTGGAATAGAACAAGCACTCGCACACAATGAAGTGACAGAGGTCGCAGACTGACTCCTCTTGGAAGCGCGGACTCCTGCTTGTGATGTAAATGAATTCCTTTCCCCTCCCGAGGAAATATTGATCACATGACACGGACGCGGAGTTATAGGTGGTCATCCCAGGGCACGGCTCCAGGTATAAACCTTTGCCACAATCAATGCGGGTTCCTCTCCTAGCAGACAAGGCTGTCCCGTTATATCAGCGACGCGGCCAAAAGGGCGAGCCGCCCCGGACGCCATCAGAATTCACGATTTCCCATCAGTCTTCGTGTGACATTCGGGAATAAAGGAGGACAATGTTGGGGACGGTTGTGGGAGAGTAGCGGGGAGGACAATCCTTCGGGGGGGGGGGGGCACACTTCTATCCGGATGGAGATAAGGACAGAAAACTGGTAACGTCCAGATTAATGTGTCACCTCTGCAGACGACAGATAAGGTGCTTTCAATCTTCTTGTAAAATCACAATACATTCTGCATCTCTTTATAAAGTGCGCGGCGGCGCGTTATCGCCCTGATATGTGCGCGGCGCGTTATCGCCCTGATATATCTGAGTACACCTCTCCGCATTGTATAGCTAAACAGAGCGGGGAGCTTAGGAGCTGCCAGCCAGATGTGGATTAAATAGAAGTCAGATTAGAGGGGGGGGTGAAATGATTATTTCCTGTGTGGCCCCAGGCCAGGTGAGCTCCTGGCTCCATATTTACAACGTATCGTACAGAAGCAGGAATAGAAGACGCCGGATAATACTCCGCCATCACTCTCGTTATCTGCTGGGAATTTTCAGAGAATGGCGGAAAAGAAAAGAAGAAGGTTATTACAAGTGTTACAAGTCTGCAGTGATTACGGCTAACCGGTGCAAAGCTGCTGGCGTTTGCCAAGAGTTGTACCCCATGCCTACCACCAATGGGGGACTATATCAAATTCTCACCATTCAGCCCATTTGAAAGCGGTTTCTGATGAAGTGGCATAGGCTGCAATACATGTACAGCAGTGGTTCTCAAGTGCCCAGCTGTGACCCCACTACCAGGACCCGGGCCTTCAGCTAGATCAGATCCCATAACCATCCCGCGGTTTCTGATGAAGTGGCAGAGGCTGCAATACATGTACAGCAGTGGTTCTCAACTGCCGAGCTATGACCCCACTGCTGGGCCCCGGGGCCTTCAGCTAGATCAGATCCCCTAAACCATCCCATATTGCGTTCCAGCTCCCATAGTGGCATCTAACATCCCGCAGTGCCCCTGCGCTTGTTGCAGAACCTCCAGCCTCCCACAATAACTCCCTAGACCCTGCAGTGCCCCATCCAGTCTCTCCCTTGGATGGTTCCCTTGGATCCAGCTATCCCTTGGATCCAGCTCTCCCTTGGATGGTTCCCTTGGATCCAGCTATCTCTTGGATCCAGCTCTACCTTGGATGGTTCCCTTGGATCCAGCTCTCCCTTGGATGGTTCCCTTGGATCCAGCTCTCCCTTGGATGGTTCCCTTGGATCCAGTTCTCCCTTGGATGGTTCCCTTGGATCCATCCTTGGACCCGCATTTCCTTCAGCTAGATCACATCCCATAACCATCCCGCGGTTTCTGATGAAGTGGCATAAGATGCAATACATGTACAGCAGTGGTTCTCAACTGCCGAGCTGTGACCCACTGCTGTGTCCCGGGGCCTTCAGCTAGATCAGATCCCCTAACCATCCCATATTGCGTTCCAGCTCCCATAGTGGCATCTAATATCCCGCAGTGCCCCTGCGCTTGTTGCAGAACCTCCAGCCTCCCACAATAACTCCCTAGACCCTGCAGTGCCCCTTCCAGTCTCTCCCTTGGATGGTTCCCTTGGATCCAGCTATCTCTTGGATCCAGCTCTACCTTGGATGGTTCCCTTGGATCCAGCTCTCCCTTGGATGGTTCCCTTGGATCCAGTTCTCCCTTGGATGGTTCCCTTGGATCCATCCTTGGACCCCGCAGCTCCTTCAGCTAGATCACATCCCATAACCATCCCATGGTTTCTGATGAAGTGGCATAGGATGCAATACATGGACAGCAGTGGTTTTCAACTGCCGAGCTGTGACCCACTGCTGGGCCCCTCAGCTAGATCAGATCCCATAACCATCCCGCGGTTTCTGTTGAAGTGGCATAGGCTGCAATATATGTACAGCAGTGGTTCTCAACTGCCGAGCTGTGACCCCCACTGCTGGGCCACGGGGCCTTCAGCTAGATCCGATCCTCTAACTATCCCATATTGCGTTCCAGCTCCCATAGTGGCATCCAACATCCCGCAGTGCCCC